CGGAACGAACCATGGAAAAATCGGAAAGAGAGGGTGACTCTATGATGATGTGGGAAGTTTCTTCTTTGGGCGATGTGAAATCAGCAGCCACTGAAATTGGCAGCAACCAACAGGAAGCCTTTGTGTTGTCGGGAGATGATGCTTTTGTGATACATTCCATGAACAATCTTCCAGCCGAGGCGAGCTGTCTATGGCGACCACCGTCGAGTATAGCCCGTTCATTGTTGCTGCTCGAATCCAGTCCAATCTCGGTCTGGCGACTGCGATCCAATCCAGGGATCTTGGGCATGGTCTTGGAATGGCAAGACATTGTATCCGTCTGTCAACCACCACAGCAAGATTGGGATGCCGGGCAGCTTTACGCTAGCTTGAAAAAGATGCGACAACCCTGCTCTGCCATGGATTACCCTCCCACAATTTACATGATTGGAGAAGATGAGGTGTCATGATCACCACTATGTGCATCCTCTGGCTGATTCAATCTGCTTTGGAAAGACGAGGGAGGGGCTGTCCTTGCCCGTCTTCGAGAGGAGGGCCAAAAGAATGATGGGGACCAAGGACAGCAAAGAATCAAACGACCATTGGTGAGGATACTATCATTGTGCTTCTATAGTTCTCTGCTGACAGGGCGGTCTCCCTTGGGAGAGTGAGTGCTCAGCTTAAAGGCTCATATTGCCTGGAGTCTTGGGCAATGCATGCAGCGAAGGCGAGGACAATGAAAAGGCCAGATGAGTAGCACCGTATGTATGGCGACCTTTTGGGAGCTTCTGGCTGCGAACTCATCGGTGGAGATCGCTCTCAAGTATTGCTCCTTTGGCTGGTCATTGGCATATCGGCTACGGCTTAAACTTGTCGAAACCAGGCCACATGATAGTTTGTTTGAGGGCTGAAGGGCAGTGCACAACGATTGTCGGTTACTAGTAGCTAAACAGGCGAGTACCATAGTAACGGTACCATTTTGCTAGATTCGAGAATGACTTGCTAGCTAGCTAAACATGAGTGCAGCACCGGCACAAACCACACCGGAAAGACTTGTTCTTTCCGTTTTAAGCTCGGGTGTACCTCATCCCGTCCTTCCAACTGCCAAATCTAAGCGCGGCCTTGAGTGCTCAAATGGCAGCACATCCATGGTAACCTTGGGTTGCGCTGCAGCAGAGGCGAGGTTGCCGATTACGTCGTCGACGACGACATCCATTCGAGCATTCGAGACGCAAAATTGACCCAGCACTGCGTTCCACACAAAAAAGACGCGGAGCGAGTGGCGTAAAACCGATCAATCTCGGGAACACCGTTGGACGTCCATTCTACCTTGTCTCCCCCCTTTGTATTGCCACTGTCTAGTTCCGGACCATGGCCACCCGTCGCGTTGTGTTTTCGTGCGCATTGTATTTTGATATACTCTTGCTTTTTCGTACTTTTTTGCTTGTTCCAGTTGCCCTTGGTTTTCTGGTGTCGGCCTTTTTTTGCTGTTGCTCCTTCATGGTCCCACGACAATTCTTACTCCCACATCGGCAGACAAACTTGTCGCCCTGTTTGGTATCAAAGTGGTAATCGTAACTCAAGAATTCACCCGGCTGAATGTCGCGCAGGGCAAAGATCCCATCTCGCATGTACCCTCCCACGTTGAACCGCCACAAGATGCAATTGGGATCGCAGGAATGATTAATGAATCGTGCCATGTTGGCCGTTTCTCGCGCATCCACGTACCAGCCACTGCTGAGGCACATGATGTAGTAATTGGGATCGTTGGGAGATTGGTCTGTATTGGGAATCCCTGATCACCACTGCACCACTTGAATCGGGAGTACTCGACGATACCAAGAAGCAATCCACGCCTGCTGCCTGAACGTTTGTCAACTTGTCGGAGGGAGGTTCGTGACGGCGAATGTCGACCATGACATGGAGGTAGCCCGGTCGGAGCTGCCATTCCGATCCAGCAGTGGGCGCTGGTTGCCAAGCCGTGGCGCTTTTGTGAGAAATCAGAAGAAGGATTATCGGGAGCGGTAGCATAGAGCTCATCGTCGTTGTGCTGGATGGCTGATGGCTGATGGCTGATTGCGTCAGGGCAAAAAATGATCAACCACGAGAGCGCTTCTATACCCGAAGCATTATTTGATTGTTGCTGTGAATGCCGCTAAAGATTTAGGAACTATCACGGCGTCATACGCACAATAGGAAGCACAGTTCAGCCGCAAGAATGGCCACCCACCATCGTTGCAAATCATTGCTTTGGTAGTGAAAAGAATTCAATCATAGACGATACTTTTGACCCATGATATGGAGACAAAAGGATCACGTTCTCTGGCCATTGGTTGTACCGGTACCGGTACCGGTACCGTTCAACCCTCCATGGGGACAACTTTCAAGAGGATTTTCCAGGTGTCCAGCAGCCAGTGGGGTCGAATCACTTGTCAATCCGAGATGCTGCTTGACGAAGACTTCTCAATACGGACAGCCACGGCGTCGTGGTTGTCGGCTTCAGCAGGCGACGATTAACCCAGTACCGGTATGAGATTAGCATTATCAAACCACTTCATTATCAAACCAGTTGGCTGGAACTGATAGACAACGCCACCCAAGAGCCCAGAGCACTCATAATAAAGACCAAGTCAAAAGGCAAAAGGACACTCAGTAGCCTGTGTAGCTATCGTCGCTGCAAATCATTGCACCGCATTGAATACAACTCAACCAATCATGGACATGGAGAGCTCTTGAGACAAAAGGAGCATGTGCGCTGGCCACGCACTCATCTGTTTGCGTTGAACGCCGGTGTACAAGGTACTCCGGAGCGCAACGGGATCTTCGCAGAGTTCCAGGCTTCTTGGAAGCTGGACGGCTCAATGCGACAACACTCACTGGGTGAGTGAGTGACTTCATCACAGGTGTTTCACGAGGTCCGGCATGCTGCTGGCCTCATGCTCACGGAAGATTTTCACTTTGTTCGGTACGAAGTACCGTTCGCCGTGAAAATGTCACTTTGTTCGGTACTAAGTACCAATTATCATGACGTTATATTCGCAAGCACACAAAGGTGTACGTGCGAAGCATCAGCCTCTTCGGGCTCGGCCCAGAAGCATGGCTGAGATCATTCAGTCAGACTGTATGATCTTGAAACTCCCCCCAAGCCAACTATGTCAGGAATCGAACCTGTTTCATCATCAGCTCAGTAACCCCTTGAAGCCACAGTTACTAGCGCAAACACTGGGTGCTCACGAACCAGCTAGCTATACCATGACAGAGGCTTGTAGCTTCAGCGAATATCTTGCACCTATAAACTTCATTTGACCAACAAAATCTCACTTGAAAATTTCAGAGCGGTAGACAAGTGTCGTAGACTTCGACGCAGGAGCGTGGCCTGAGAACGTGGAATACTTCACAATTGTACGGTACCGGTACGGTAGAGATGGGGTTTCCGGTTCGAGAAATGGGGGAAGAGATAGATGATGTTGGACGGCCTTTTTACATTTTCATCCTGTTGTCTTTCTTTTGGCGTTGCCTATCGGATCATCATCTTGACGTTGACCATGTTCAGCTTTGGGTCGTCGTCTGTGATAAAGAATCCACACCTGTGGTGTATTTCGTACCAGCAGCTAATGGATTTGGACAACCAAGCGTCTGAACTGTTTGGTCGCCATTACGGGATCTCCGTCACCATGAGAGATATTTGCAGGGATATCATCAAACCTGTCTGCGAAAAAAGTGGTACTTCCTATGCCCTGAGCCTAAATCCAAATGGGCTGATGATAGACGCGTTCATTACTCATTCATGGGACGGCCACTTTGCTTCGTTTATCAAGTCCATTTCTTCGCTGTATGGAGATTCTTCGCAGAAGCCGAATCTCTGGATTTGTGCATTTGCCATTAACCAATCCAACCCGTCGGCGCAAGTTGGAAAGGGCGACACCAAACTTCAAACTACACCTTTCGTCAAGGCTCTGAAGAAGGCCAAGACGTTTTGCGTGGTTCGAAACAAAAATGTGGATCTTTACAGTCGGATATGGTACAGTGCAGCATGCTGAGCCTTGTCTACTACTTGGGATCTTTTTGAAGCGGTGCAATTTCTAACTGAGGCTCCAATCTCTCCAACTGTCGTTATAGGTGCGTTTGTGAGCTCATGTTTGCCAAGAAGCAAGGCCTATTTCCCCACAAAACACAGCTTGCTGGGCCCAATGTCTTTGCTCATCTCCGGACGAGTTGCTTAGATGCTCAAGCTTCCAAGATTGAAGACAGAGATCGGATATTGCGTGTCTTGCTGACGAAGCATGATCGAGCAGCAGTGGACGAACTAGTGCAGATTTTCCGAACAAAGGATGCTCCGGACGATACTGGAAGGCTTCGGTTCCCTGATGATCCAGATTTTCACCCAAGTATCAATGGAAGGAATGGTTTCGAGTTCCACGATCTTTATGATGTTACGGTGGACCACTTGGTGAGTTGGCCAAACCTTATCCTCTCATTGATTGTGCTCACCGCCCCCTTCCTCGTCAATCGTGTCCAATCGTTTCTGTCATCAGCTTGGGCAAAGAAAGTTTGGCAATGTACGCAAGTGTGAACACAATCAATCCATCCCCAAATCACCTCATAGATACTATGCCGTGAAAACGATGACCCTCCCTTCCCGTGACACTGCGGATGGCCCAATTCTTTCCTATGATGATGTCGAGGATCGATGCCAAGAAATCAAGACTTTGATTCTACTACAACAGGAACCTCGCTCTCCCAAAGTGCTGTTTCTACTGGAGTATTTCTACAGTCGAAACGCTACCAAAACACTTGTCCTCGTGACAGAATTGCTTCAGACGGGTCTCAAGGACGTTCTGGAGTTTCTTCAAATCTCGGAGTACGAAACAAGAGCAGTTGCCAAGAGCATTCTTGAGACTATCAAATTCATTCACGGCAAAGGTGTTGTGCACAGAGACATCAAGGAAGCCAACTTTATGTTTCGCGTAGGTACCGTGTCAAAACATGCAATGATAATGTGGTCTCTCATCAAAGTTTTCTTTTTCTTTTGCCTCTCTCTACCGGTATCAGGAGAATGGAAACCCACAGACTTTGACCCTGATTGACTTTCGATTGGCCAGGGTCCTTGAAGCAGGTGAGACAGACAAGTCGTTTTGCGGGAGTACGGGGTATATTTCTCCTGAGATGTACTTCCAGAAACCGCATAGCTTTGGGGTGGATCTCTTCAGTTTCGGGGTAATGCTTTTCAAAATGTTGTCTGGTGGGAAGAGTCCTTGGCCCCTCATGCCCCTGGATGACTTGCGGCGAAGGACAAAAGACTTGGAGTACAATTTTGATGATTGGGACAGAGTGGTTGCTCCGAGTGCCAAAGCACTGATTCAGCATCTTTTAGCGCCCGCGGAGCAACGGCTGGACGCAGAAAGAGCCCTGGACCAAGAGTGGTTCAGGGTTGGTTTGAGGAGGACTAGTATTGAGGATTCGTACCTAGCCTTCTCCTCCTGGCAAGACTAGTTCTATGGGCAAGCATGAACCAACCATACATACAGCTCATATATCTGCTCAGCTTCTTTCGCCGATACCTGACGTTCAATAGACGTTGTCTGTGAATCCAGGCTTGGTCAAAGACAGAAAGAGGGGAAATAGCCGGACGAAGCCCAACTATTAGCCTCAACCTCAACACTTTTTATCAGTCACGAAACTCCGGGACACCCTTTGAGGCACGCTTCAAGATTTTCCAACGGCAATGATCTTTCTCTATGCAATCAATTTTTCGTCCATTTTGCGGAACCTCCCTTGCTTTCCGACTTTTTGGAAGGAATCAAGAACTACAATTCAACCTCCACAATCCCCCCCTTCGGACTCTGTGTGACATGAGGTGCACCCAAGAAGCTCACAAATTTGGGCTGCTGTGAAGCGGCTCAGCTTGTGTGGATTCGATTCGGATCAGTGCAGTTCATCATCATGAACCACAAGAGCCATATCCTTCTGGACGACGAAGAGGCTGCCAACGACGACAAGGACAAGGATTATCGGCAGTTTCCAGATGTCGCCACCGATGCAGTCGTCCACGATGCGTACCACTCGTTTGGCGCTGCTACCCCCAAGAAGCAAGTGGACAAGAAGATCTTTTTGCCACTCTACGCTGCAACGGCCTCTTGTCTGATCCTTCTTCCCGTGCTACCACTGTTTCTACGAGTAATTTTGGTGACTGCCTGGGCCATTTTGTTCATTTGGACACCTCTGTATTATCTGTACCACTACGATCCCGACAATCAGACTGATGCCTCCTGCTGCTCTTCTGCGTGCTGCGCCCAAGATAACACTCTCAAGACTTAGTTGCCGGCTGAAACGACAAAATAGACCGAGCGAAAAGACAAGGTGACGCTAGCAAAATGGCGGATGGAAGCATGGAAGCGATGGACCGATTCCATACAAGTCCACGCGACAATTCTCCCTGACTTGAAAAGACGAAGTTAACTATACGAGCTGTTGAGATGAATCCCTGGAGCTGTCAGCACGCCGGAATATTGCGACTGACCTACCTGGTGGGTATCGGGAATCCCTCAACAAAGACGCATTTTAGGATGTGCTGACAGACACGTACCCCCCTCCTGTTTGTTACTGTAAACTAACTATAGAAATCGGCGTCTGCCTTTGAATGATCAGGTTTGACTAGAGCTAGCCCAACAGGATTAGTCGCTCGAAAATCGAAATACTAGGCTCCATAGAGGCGTAGACGAGGACTTTACAAACCCAACGCTATAGCTCTATCTTTCATTTGTCCCGTGGTGATTCGCAAAAGTTTCCAACACCCGAAAGCCTTCGCCGTTTGAGTGTTGGAAGCCCATTTTTCTGCTGGTGTCGCACTGCCAGAAGGGAGATGGGTCGGTACCGACTAACCGAAATCAGATTCGATTGGGTTGGAATGAATGTGGCTTCCTAGTGGAACGCTGCAGGATCCATAACATTGAATACTCTCATGGGGTGTGCTTCAGTATTGAAAACATGCTAGGGAGAAGCAAGTTAGAAGAACAGCTGAACACAGATAAAACTAGGAGATTTAAACTCACCTTGTGCAGCACATCTACTTCAGTGTCTGGATCTTGTAGCAGGTACATGTACTTCACTGTTTCTGCCAAAAAGAAAGTCTCCATCTTGTCCCGGGGTTTATCTGTTTTGCTCCGCACAGTGCTCAAAGTGCCATATCCCACACCAGTTCTACAGTACTTTTCAATAGACTGAAATACTTCCCACCCCCACTCTCGATAAACAGGATCACCAGTGAGTTGACTCAAGATAAAGAAAGACTCAACGGTTTCTGGACGAAGCAAGTAATGGGGGGCACCACTGCCTATTTTGAAATCCTGTCCAGGATAGAACTGAACAAACTCAGCTGAAATTCCTGTTTCCATTCGAGCATACATTTGGTAGCAGGTGTATGTTAATGCCTGGTATCGTGGTTGACACATCCGATAGTGTCCGAGACCAGAGTGAGTGAGACACAAGCAAAACAAAGCAAACCAGAAAATGCACCCAGAAGTCCCTTTCCTTACCCTACCGGTCTTCAGATCTCGCTGTGCCCGCCGAGAATCCAGCCCAAGGGGATCTGTGTATGCTCCTAGTGCCAGGAGACCACCCATGAAACCTATCACAAAAATAAGTTAGCCATGGATCCCACAAGCGCACACATCAAACGCTACCAGTGCCAGTCCACTCACAAACAAGGTGATCCATTTTGTCATCATACCGGTTGCCGTTCATCTTGTCTGCAAGGAACAGGAGACCTGATGGATCGGATCGCTTGACCAATTCATCGTGCATTCCCTGCATGGCCTTATCATACATGTCTCTGTACATTGGTTCCACCTTGCCACCCTGAATCCACACCTTGAGCATGTACTCATAAAACGAATCTGCCATGGCACCAAATGTCAAGTGATCATTCCGAAAGGAAGGCCTTCCACTAGGATCATTGTTGGAGACAAAATACGGGAACAATCCATTGGGAGGGGATATCTGATGCATCAGCTCAAAGATATGTTCGGTTTTGTACCTCATTGTGCCAGTTTCATCCGTTTTCAGACACTGATCGAGCATGCGATACTCCAGTTGCATGGAACCAAATTCTGACAGAATCGCACTCCCTCCAGCCCATGCAATGTTGGCATGGTGGCCACTCTGCAAGTTGACCTGTCCAAAGGGAATCCCAGTGGTGCTTCCATCAAATGCCCTAGACAACCTCTTGCCCAAATCAAGGGCAGAATTCAAAAACACTTTGTCGCCAGACCAATCATAGGCGCTGAGCAGTCCACCCAAGGAACGGATTGTAGTTTCAAATACAGAAACTTGATGTGGCTTGCCATGCATCAAATGATCTCTCACCCAGTCGCGGGCCTGCCAAAATTCGTCCTTCATACCCGTCAACCAGAGAGTATCGAGTGTGTCAACCAGAGTCACTCCAAACCCACCCCAACCATTATCACCTGTCCCAGAAGCAGGTTTGATTTCGTCCATTCCAAAGGCATGATCAACATATCCCTGCCAGGCTGTTTTCATCATATTCTTGACGTATTCCCGACGAACTCTGGCTAGATCATCTGATTTTTGTCGAATTTCCTCTGTAATTACATAGGGTGCATCTCCCTGGGTGTATTCGCCAAACCGAGATCCACCCTTGGGCTCATAGTCTCTGTGAATATCATAACCAGCAGGTGGTGGATCTAGCGGATACGGGTATGGCCCTCCCACCTGTCCGGGTGGTGGCATTTGAGCTTTGGGGATTTGTTGAGTATTCGGTGGTTCCATACGTTGTTGTTGAAGGCGGGAATAGGGAAGTCTCTCTCCGTGAACAGGAGCACGTTGTTGTGCTTGCCTTATCCCTTGTTGTTGTGCTTGCTTGTTGACGGCATCACGAATCCCTCCTAGAAGCGTAAAGAGCACACAAAACACAACAAAGGTGCCAGCCAACAGAAGGATTCGGAGGGTATTATTTCCTCCTTTGGACTTGGTGCCTTTGCGGTTCTTCAAATTTTTCGCGGCCATTTCTCAATTTTCTCAGTGTAACAAAGATGAAGAAATAATGGACAATGACAGAGCAGAAGATACTAGTACGTTACGGGAGGTCTCTTGAGGTTACAGGAGGCATTGCTGGCCGCCAGTTTCTACGATTTTAGCAGTTTACTCAACTCAATAATATTTTAGCTATCGGTATAAGGTAGTGCCCCCCCCGATTGGCTACCTTACCACTAACTTTCCGACCCCCCTTGATCGTGGACAGAAATTTTGGACATTGAAACAAAACGTACACGCATAATTGAATCAGCTAGCCACCAGTAGTGGGAGAATGAGAGAAGCAATTAGGTATAAAAGACAGACCATGAAGATAGCAAGACGGGCATAGAACCTTCCAAAGTTATTCACCACCAGAGAACAGAGCCAGGACCTCTTGGGGTGGCAAGCTTGGATTACAAGCATGGTGTCTGCTCCTTCCCTTCCTTGCTTGATTATCAAATAGGCCATCTGTGACAAAGATGGAGTTGTGTCTGACTGAAGGTAGTCTACTAGCTAGGGATAAGGAAAACATACCACATCTCCTAAACATGCAGGGCAGCTTTTAATAAAATAGTAGGTGCAATTGGGTTTCACAGTGGCTGGATTGCAGAAGAGATGAGTGCTGTCTTTGACGCAACAAGCATACCCGTAGTATATCTGGTCTCCACCACCTCTCAGGTAGATCTAAACCAAGCTGCCATAGGCCCCATACCGGTACCTTACCGTACCGTACTGTACCAGCTCGCTCTGTGACGCCCCCCCCAGAGGTTCCCAAACACGGGGTGTTGCCTTTATCATCCCCACACGACTCGCTGAATCGTGCCTTTAGTATCCGGGATTGCTTTGCCACCTGTCGCTCTTGGGCTCTCGTGATCTTTCACTCTTCACAAAGACAGCAAGAGAGAAGGCTTCCACCCGAGACACAACCGCTGCGCAATAAAACAGAAAACCAATACATACGCACATACCGTACATACCATGGCATCTATCACTTGGACGGCTGTTTTTGGGTTGCTCATCGTTGAGCTCGTGATTACTTTTATCCTGGTAGTTCCAGTTCCACGCCGCATTCGGAATGCGATTGCACGAGCCATTTCTCGATTGCGACTGGGCGGAGATACGGTTACCAAGGCATTGCTATTCGTCGGATTGGCCCTGACATTTGGTTTGGTGGAATCCTATTGGAGCGTCCAACGATTGTTGGAGAAATTGGCGACATTGGAAGAACAAGATATGGTGTCCGGGTTGGGCGGCACGCCGGTGCACGGCCATGGACACCACGCCATTCATCACGACAAACAACGTCTCTACAAGGCAGAGCGAAACACGTATCTGGCGGGGTTCGCATTGACGCTGCTCTTTGTCATTGGACGAATTTTGCAACTCATGCAGGAATCGGTCGAATTGGAAGACGAACTCGAATTGGCACGAAAACCATTGCGGGCACCCGACAAAGATGCAACGGCTACCGTGGGAACGGAAGGAGTGGAAATGACAAAAGTCAAGAAGCAACCACAAGACAAAAAGAAAGATTAGAAAATCAGAGAGAAATGGCTGGTATATATTTATCCGACAATTTTTACTCCACAACCAGCCATGCCTGCGACCTCCTATTGCGTCCCTGCGACCTCCTATTGCGTCTTTGCTTGAACCAAATCGACATTACACACTCGGTCAGTTGTCTTGAGGTTTTCTTTTATCATTATATCGTTTAAAAATCTATAGCTCAGAGTATGGCGATCTTTGCGACGAGTCTTCGCAATTACAGGCCCACGCGCGGCTTCAGCGGTAAGGATGTTCGTTTGGCCATGCCATGGCAAAGGGCAGTCAACTCCTCGGGAACGGATAAGCTGGACCAATCGTCGCCTTCTGGTGCTCACCGGACCAGCCTCTTTGACGATGGCTGGCCACGTAACCAATTAATCGCACACGCCGCGGTTGGGGTTGCTCCCGTCGTGCAAAGTTTGCATGAGGGAAATGATCTGTGCCGTCTTCTGAAATGCCCGCTAGGCTGCTTCTTTGGCTTTCCGCTCTAGACTATCGTATCTGTCCAGAACTATATATCTCTTTGGAACCTTGGTTAGCACTGGCTGCAAATAATGATCACACGATTCTAGCAAAAGGTGACTAAATCAACAATAATGCCCCAATTTCTGTATTTTACTGAATGTCCCAATTAATTCGTAAGAGATCTTGCTTGTCTTCATGTTGGGCATTGACAATCGCAGCCACATAGTGAATCAGAGCAATCAAAGATCAATTCTTCTATAGCACAGAATGGTGCTGGAAATGTGCCAGTCAAACCATGACTGCCACGCAGGTCCAGGTGTGTCAGCATACCCAAGGGGAACAGCTCTAATGGAACTCCTCCAGTCAGCAAGGGTAGATCTGACAAATCCAGCTCTGATAGTTTTCTGGCATCCCCAAGTTCCCCAGGAATTGAACAGAAAGATTGTTGGCTCCAAGGGAAAGGATCTGAAGCTCGTCCATTATGCCAAGCACACTTGGTATGCTCCCAGTTATTGCATTTCTCTCCAAGCGAAGCTCACCAAGGTTTATGAGCAGTGCAAGCTCTGTAGGGATCTGATGAGTAAAGTTGTTCTCTGCCAAAAGCAGACTTGTCAGAGAAGTCATCAGTCCCAACTCTGAGGGTATATGGCCTGTCACACTGTTGGTATCCAACCACAGTTCCGTCATGGCTGTCAATCGCCCCAGCTCTGTAGCAATTTGACCACTCAACCGGTTGTCAATCAAATGCAACAAAGTCAAAGAAGTCAACGACCCAATTTCGGAGGCGATTTGGCCTGTTAACTGATTGCCAAACAAACTCACAGAAACCAAATCTGTGACCTGGCCAAGTTCTGTTCCAATTTGGCCGGATAATTGATTCTCTCCCAACCACAAGGTCGACAATCCAGTCAAGAGTCCTAGCTCTGTACGGATTTGACCAGAGAGCTGATTGAAGGATAACCACAACTCTTCCAAGGCAGACATCCTTCCAATCTCACTCGGCACCAATCCAGTGATTTCATTGGAAACCAAGTCCAAGGTATTCAAGGATCTCAAGAGTCCCAATTTGGAAGGCAGTGTGCCTGTTAATTCATTCTTGGGAAGAGCAAGGATTTTAGAGAAGTCATCTCATATAGGGTTGATGGTATCAATTGAGAAAGAGGTACTTGCAATTTGTTGCCTCCCAAGTCAATCTTTGACAACTTGGACAAGAGAGCAATTTCTGATGGAATGAATGGCGCCATTCCAGATAGTTGCAAACCTTTCACTGAAAGTGAGGTGTATTCACCGAGCTCATTACACGGCGGGTGTAAGTCATCCCTCCACTTATACCCATCAAAATGAAAGCCAATCGCACTGCCATACCAGTGACATTCGTCTTTGGAATAATCTAGCCACATGTCGGCCGCATTGTAAATTTGTTGGAATGTGGCTGAGGCGGACCAATGTTCCCCATCAAATGCGTAGTAAAATGTTGCCAATGCCAAGAGCTGGTCCCTTTTCCATTCGGGAAACTTTTCATAGTCGGGATGGTGTTGCAACCAGTGTTGCGCTTTTCCCCGTGGCGTTGATGCTGTGCAACCTTCAGCGCCTTTTCTTCCCTTCTGCCTACGCCGAGAACAATGCCAATGATGATTCCCGCTGGAATCAAGAGGAAGATGGTTGCCAGAACGAAACAGCGCGCATGTCTCTTTCTATATTCCGTCTTTTCCTCAGCTTCTTCTAACTGCATGAGTTCTTTGTCCTCCAAAACAACAGGATCAGCATGTATAAGTGGGTAGCTTCCTTTGGGGGCAAGTCCTGCTGTACGTTGGTTGTCGTCTGTCTCTTCGGCATTATTTTCACTTGGCTCCACACGTTCGCTTTCGGCGTCCATGATTGTTTCTTGCCCCTCTTCATCATACGGCAGTTTTGGCTCCTTTCGTTGACTCTGCCGGAAGGATTCATGCTCTGGAATCGCCTCAAAACCCAGTGTTGGCTTGAATTCTTGTTGTCGGGTATGGTGGATTAACTGTTCTTCATTTGTTGCCCTCCCACTGCCAGTTAAATGGGTGTTAGCGAATTGGCCAGTTACCAGATTTTTGCCTCGTACCGCATCCAGTTTGGCGGCGAGTTCATCCGATGTTCGTGACAGTCCTTTCTCCGAGCGAGCGAAACTGCCGCTGCCTAGACTGAGACTGCTTCGACTGAGGCTGCTTTGACTGAGACTGCTTTTACGGAGACTGCTTTTACGGAGACTGCTTCGACTGTGGCTGCTACTGTGGCTGCTCAGGTTGTCCAGTCCTCTACTGTGGGAACTGAGACCCTCTAGATGATCTAGCTTGGCCGACATCTCGTGGGCTGTGCGCGACAATCCTCTCTTCTTTTTAGGACTGATGATACTGAGGGTGCTTCTCCTTCTACTGTGTGCAGAACTGCCGAGGCTCCTCGTAGAGTTGGCAGGTGTGAAATTGGTTGTGCTTCGTCTTCTTCTGTCGGGGACAGCAGTGTCATCACTGGGATGACAGATACCTCTGACGGCGTCCAGCTTGGCGGAAAGATCTTCCTGAGTTCGTGATAAGCCCTTTTTCTGCTTGTCATCGTCGGCTCCATGATGGTTCTCGAGGTAGCTGTTGGGAGCGACCATTATAGAGCCGCTTCTTTCTGATCGGAGATTGGACGAAGGCCGCCGTGACAATCCCCTCTTCTGCTTGATATCTTCAGCATTATCCTCCTCTCGCTGCATTTGTTGATGGCCCTTCATCATTCTGTTTGTCCACAGCAACAAAGAAAGCCTCTACCGCATTGGGGATAAATCAATGGCACCAAATAAATCACCTCGTCCAAAAAGGTATAATTCTTCGTGTCTCTTGTGCTCGTCGTGGGTGGTTTTTTACAATGGAGTCCCCTTCTTTGGTGGTGAATGGTACGGTACCAGGACCAGGACCAGCACCGTAAACCCCAGCAAAGTAAGCCCTTCACTGGCATCAGTTTTCGTCTCATTCAGAGCATTATCAGAGCAATGATTCTAAATCTCTTTTAGTTGACGTCAGAGCAGCCCCACAAGATCCAAAGTGCCTTTGGCCAAGAACCACGAACCAAATTTTCGCAAAGTACCAAGCACAAAAGCAGCTGCTTCCGCGAGCAAAGCATTGGCAGCAGAGGTATCAGCAAGGTCTCTTCTGGCATTGTCATTATCCTTTTGTTTTATCTGTTATCCAAAAGCTCGATAGCTAGCTAATAGAGCACCATGGCTACCAAAAAGTTAAAGAACCGCCGAGGCGCGAAATCGAAAGGAGGAAATCATACCCTTAAAATCCTGCTGTTGGCTGGCATTTGCATCATTATGGGGGTCATGTTCACACTAATGGGTGGTCTTCGTGAAGCTCTGAATCGTCAAGCCCTGCATCGGCAAGGTATGGTACAAGAACAGCTCGATGCCAATAATAATCCTGGGCTCCGAAAAGATTCGGTTCATGGAGAAATGATGCATGCCTTGACGAAACCGCCACCCAAACAGGACATTGAATCGCAGTTGCGTCGAAATCACGAGCAGTCATTAATCGAACAAGCGCAAGAACGACAACGACGCATTTTAGAAGATCACGAGCAACGTTTACAGGATCGGGTCATGATGGCAGCCGGAGGGGCGGCGCATGATTTAGTCCAACGAAGAGGCAGAGGCGAATTACTTCGTCACCATGAGGATGCACAGCAACCAATTCCCAAGGCGCAAATGCCGCCACCCGAACAGTTAGGAGGGCCTTACCCGTACCCGCTAGATCCACCACCGGCTGGTTATGATATTCACAGAGATTACGAGCCCAAGGGTGGTTTTCGGTTTGGCGAATATGCCCAAGGAGATGCGCCCTATAAAATTACAGATGAAATTCGACAAAAATCAGATGCCCTGGCCAGAGTCCGTCGTGAATACGTCAAAAATATGATGACAACAGCCTGGAAGGGATATGTTGATCATGCCTTTGGAATGGACGAAATCAAGCCGGCCTCTGGGACAGGTGATAATGGTTGGGGTGGATTTGGAGTCACTCTCGTTGATACACTGGATACTCTCTGGTTGACAGGAATGAAGGACGAATTTTGGCAGGCAAGGGACTGGGTGAGAGATCATTTGGTGCATGACAAGCCACATCAAGTTTCTGTATTTGAAACCACCATTCGTTCCTTAGGTGGACTGCTCAGTGCCTATGATTGGTCTGGTGACAAAGTATTTTTAAATTCTGCCCTTGATTTGGGAAAGAGGTTGGCTGGAGCATTTGAAGGAAGCACAACTGGGATTCCCTATGGACAAGTCAATTTGGCAACTGGTCACCATGCCAACATTGCATGGGCTCGAGGGAATACCATTTTGTCAGAATTTGGTTCCATGCAACTGGAGTACCGCATGCTCGATCAGTGTCTGAAAACAGATGAAACGGGGTCCATGAGGCACAAAACAGAACATGTCTTTGAGCTGATGCATCAGATATCCCCTCCCAATGGATTGTTCCCCTACTACGTCTCCAACAATGATCCCAATGGACTTCCTTCCTTTAGGAATGATCACCTGACATTTGGTGCCATGGCTGATTCGTTTTATGAGTACATGCTCAAAGTTTGGATTCAGGGCGGCAAGGTGGAACCAATGTACAGAGCAATGTATGATAAGGCCATGCAAGGAATGCATGATGAACTGGTGAAGCGATCAGATCCATCAGGTCTCCTGTTCATTGCAGATAAGATGAATGGCAACCGGTATGATGACAAAATGGATCACCTTGTTTGTGAGTGGAATGGCAATGGTAGCGTTTGATGCGTGAGCTTCTGGGATACATTGCTCACATTATTATTATTATTATTTTTGATAGGTTTCATGGGTGGTCTCCTGGCACTAGGAGCATACACAGATCCCCTTGGGCTGGATTCTCCACGGGCGCAGCGAGATCTGAAGTCTGGTAGGGTAAGGAAACAAGGTCTGGGTGCATTTATGGTTTGCTTTGTTTTGCTTGTGTCTCACTCACTTGGATACCATGTAATGTGCCAACCATGATACCAGGCATTAACATACACCTGCTACCAAATGTATGCTCGAATGGAGACAGGAATTTCAGCAGAGTTTGTTCAGTTCTATCCTGGACAGGATTTCAAAATTGGCCATGGCGCTCCCCATTACTTGCTTCGTCCTGAAACTGTTGAGTCTTTCTTCATCTTGAGTCAACTCACTGGTGATCCTGTTTATCGGGAGTGGGGATGGGAAGTCTTTCAGTCTATTGAAAAGTACTGTAGAACTGGTGTGGGATATGGCACTTTGAGCACTGTCCAGAGCAAAACAGGAAAACCCCGGGACAAGATGGAGACTTTCTTTTTGGCAGAAACAGTGAAGTACATGTACCTGCTACAAGATCCAGACACTGAAGTAGATGTGCTGCACAAGGTGCGTTTACAAATTTGTTGCTGTTCCTTCGATTCTTATTTTGTTTCTCTTGCCTGTATGGTCATCACTAACTTGCTTCTGATCATCCAATCTCCTCAGCATGTTTTCAATACTGAAGCACACCCCATGAGAGTATTCAATGTTATGGATCCTGCGGCGTTCCAATAGGAAGCCGCATTCATTCTGCGCTAATCAATTCTCCCCTCTGGCTTCCGACTGATGCACACTGTTTACCAGTTGCCACTGGTAGTTCCCTGGCTGCATGCCCGAAACAAAACTTGCGCACAAGATCACTATACTACTGAAGGGGTAACGCGAGGACACAGTTCGAGGGAAGTCCTTGGTCTAACCTAATGATTCTGCGGCTTAGCAAAAGAGCGCAACCTGCAGTCGTAGAAAACTTTGTTGCGACAGTAGGGCCGTAGCTGAATGTCTAGCTAGCTTTGTTCCAACTTTTCTGCCATTATTCGGACCATAGAGTGACAATCTTTAACGCCCATCTGCACAGCACAACCATACGGATCAGGATCGTCCACCGTCTGCATGCGCCGTATGACCTGTTTCAAGTTGCTCATCATGAGGTGAGGAGTCAGAACGAAATTCGCATCTTTTAGCTGGGACAGCATTTGCTCTGCCACGACCGCGCAAGAAAACGCCAATGGGTCCGCGTGTCCATTTCCAGGGCTGCGACGGTTGCAGTCCTTGGCCAATGTATGCAAACAGGCAACAAGGTCGACATAATTGTCCTTGGACACCCTCGAAACTTCCGTATCGTCTAGAAATGCTGCGATGAGGCCCTTCAGTGGATCCGTATCGTAATCTTCCCAAACGACTGTTGCCTGGGTTGTTCCATCAAACCACGCATTGAGGGCCCTTGTTTCTATTGCTCGTTTTTCCTGCTCCTCCAGGGCAAGCGGAATGGTGCGTTCCAGCGCTTGCTTTAGGCAAAAATAACACATGGTGCGGCAACAATGCAATGGAGGATGGTTGGTATGATCCTGTTGTGGCTTGTGAGGGCCGCTTCCCGGTGTAGTGTCGGGGGGTGCACGTTTCGGCACAGGCTAGCTGGTGTTGGGGTTCTGGTTGACGTAGAATCTCAAGAGGACCCGAACGATTGAATCGTTCGATTCGATGCCGTCACCACCTCAATTATTGGAAGCTCACGATTGTGTCTGTGGTGCATCTAGAGCGGGCCATAGCACCGAGAATTGTCGTTCATTGTCATAGCGTAGTTTGAGAGTGTCCATGATGCGAAAGTAGTTCCGTCGTTGTGCCGTTTCAGCGTCCGGCACCAGAAACAAACTGTCCAGCCTCCCGTCATAGAGACAGCCCACTTCTATTGCGTCTCTCAGCTCCTTGGGAAGAAATGGTTTGACAATGGCTACGGCAACATTGCTAAAGATTCCCGAATGATAGTGTTTCATGGCCTGATGTTTGGCGGGGTAGCAATTCAGCAGCTCGTCGCCCACTCTCTTGAAATGATTGACTCCACCAGCCTTTGAGGGAGAAAATCCCAGACATTCAATGACCAAGACCATTCCCGAGCGTATTGACTTAATATTTGGATTCATTGCTTGGTAAATATAGAACAATCCTTTCAAATTGACTTTCCACTGATCTTCCGAGACAAGCTTTTTGACGGCGCAGAGATCCGTGCAGCTGACGTAACATTGCGATTCCTTGGAATACGAAAAGGAAAGCACCAAATTTTTGTAGAGCTTCATGTAGTCCCGAACGGAGACCAATGCGTCTTCAAGGTGTCTCTGACGTCGTATTCTTGACGGAACCACTGCATTTTGTGAGCCCGTTCTACGGCGGCATCGACATTGTCGCGATCCACTAGGGCCAATTGCGCTATTTGGAAATCCGAGAGTGCGTCCAGTTCGGGATAATCTTCGATGGCGGCCATGATGGAAAAGGCCCACTGGCGCTCTTCTTCGGTCAGACGCATCGTCTCGTCCCCAACGGCGGCAGCCTGCAGTGGGGGCTCGGGGCCCTCCTCCTCATTGTCGAGGTTTTCTTCTTCATCGTTGGCTTCCAGCCTGGGGTCTTCCTCTTCCTGTCGATCTAGATCAGCCACCCGCTGCCTGGGATCCTCATCTCGATCGGCCATGGCTTGCTTCCTTCCTTTATTGTGGTGTTTCTTTGACGAGGGGAGCGCAAAAAAAGAGGCGAATGAGGCATGCCTGCATCTTGATGATCGCGTGATGGCTGAACTAGCCGGCAGAGCGGAATATTTTTCATGGAACCGGCCAACCACTGCTTCTCAGAACATCCAAAAGCCGTGATAGCTTCCGGTACGGTACCGGTACCAGTACTAGTACGGTAGGTGCTGGCAACCATGTACGCCTACCGGTACCGTTACCGGTATTGTGGTGGCAAGGGGGTACGAAGTCTATCTAACCATGCACATCTAAGAGAAATGTTTAGCAAAGGAGGTAGCTACATGCACATCAGAAGATGTTAGAAAAACAGTAGAAGCGTTGAATGATGCAGGAATTCGTCACTCGAATCCTTTGATATGCTGGCAAAACAAAAGCCTGCAAAAACAAAGATCGAAGTTTAGAAAGGGTTGCAACAGGGAGGCATTATCATATAGTACAAGAGGACCATAGCCCATAGACAAAGCAGAAAGGCTACCAGCAAGGTGTTTGCTAATCAGCTATAATAGGGAAACGTAGACCAACGCCTCTCAGCACACCTTCTCCCGTCCAGCGTTGGCAAGCGCACATAACCTGGGATCCATGTTCAATCTGATTCCTCGGTTCCTTGGATCCAAGCCAATACATGTGGCCGCTGAGCTGCATGTTTCCGCAAAATTGCTTTATCCCATTGGCAACCATGTTCGTGTGCGTATTTTAGCACTTCCAAGTGGCCACCCATGGCAGCACGGTAGCCAGTACCTTTATCCCATGGGCATCCATTTTCATGGGCATACTTCAGAATTTCTAATCGACCATCTGCAGCAGCCATATTGCATGTAGTCTTGTCCCATGGACAACCATTTTCATGAGCATATTTCAGGAGATGCAAATGGCCCCTTCTAGAAGCACGGCTGCAGATACTCTCATCCCAGGGGCAGCCATTTTCATGTAAATACTTTAGAATTTCCAAGTTGCCATCATCAGCAGCACGATGGCAAGTCCAAGTCTCCCATGGGCAGCCATTCTCGTGTGCATACTTTAGGACTTCAAGATGCCCAGCAGAAGCAGCATTGCTGCAGGTTTTCTTGTCCCATGGGCAGCCATTCTCATGTGCATACTTCAGGACTTCCAGTTGTCCGCGAAGAGCAGCACTGCTGCAAGTTTTCTCATCCCATGGACAGCCATTTTCATGTAAGAATTTTAGGCATTCCAAATAACCTTTCTCAGCTGCATAGAGGGAGGTGTCTCCATCCCAGGGACAGCCATTTGCATGTGCATACTGTAGGATATCTGTATGGCCGTTTGCTGCAGCGCGGTGGCATGTCCAAATGTCCCAAGGACAGCCATTCTCGTGAGCATATTTGATGCATCCCAAATGCCCCTTCTCAGCAGCCTTTACACAGGTCCAGACATCCCAGCTGCAGCCAATTTCCCGGGCATATTTGAGGACATCTAATTGGCCCAACCCAGCTGCGGTTTTACATGCATTGTTGGTATCCCAGGGGCAGCCATTCTCATGTGCATACTTGAGGACATCCACATGGCCATGCTGTGCTGCCAAGCGGGCACATTCCCCTCCCAATGGATAGCCCTCTTTGACGGCATATTTTAGGACTTGTAGATGGCCATATTTTGCAGCCACACCACACGCATCACCCAATGGATAGCCCCTTTTCTGGGCCCATTGAAGCAGTTGAATGTTGCCCGTTTTACTAATCACAGAACAGACATAGTTGGTGTTGAGTTCACCACCAGTGCCAGTGTGTTGGTAGTTGAGCCAATAATCAGCACGAGGCACACTGGAGAAAGTTTCACTGAAGGAGGTGTCAGTAGGAGTCACTGGTCGTAGTTTTCCATTCTTCCTTTTTACCTTCGGAGGATTCTTCACAGTATTGCAGTATGATATGTAGTTGTCTTTCATTTTGTGGCTGACTGGTGCAAGAAAGGCAAATTGCCCCATGCCACCAACAAATGGGAGGATTTTCTTCACCCAAATATCTGTTTGCATCACGAATTCATCAGACGATGCAACTGAAACAGGATTTGGCTGCCTCTTTGCCTTTTTCCTTGGATGTTCAATGGCATCGTCAGCAACGGTTGGGGCCGACATTGTTCAAAGCGCCAGAGTGATCAGATCTCTCACTTGTGCTCGATCAAATACCCTTGTGCTAGCTGGCTGCGATCCCTGAATGAATCTATCGGCAGTCTAAAGATCCTTTTGGGTCTGCTTCAACCTCTTGGGATGATCGGGGTGTCGGAGTGGGCTTCTGAGATCACCAAGACCACAGTCACGGTAGACTAACAGACAACCGGGTCCACAAGTACCGGTACCAGTCGGAGGCTCAAGCAAGTTTTTTGTTTGTACAGTACTATCACAGCCAGCAGAGCAGCCATTTGTCAAGTGTTGTCGCGGAGTCGAAACGAAAACAATCAACAGGAAGTCCTGGGAGTCAGAGTCAAGCCTGATTGATGTACTGGTACCGGTACTAGTCGTCTACATGTACGATGTAGTCTATCTGGTCCTGATTGGCGTTAAGAGTATTGAAAAGGGAACATGCCTCCACGTCAAGTTGCCTTACAAGTTTCTATGCGACACTGATGGAAACCTTCAGGCAGATACTCCCCTCAACTCGTTCAAAATTTTGGTCAGGATGCCTTCTTCACAGGCTACATGCTTTACCATTATCTGCCGTACTCGTGCTTCTTCGAACGCCTCAAACTGATGTCGTGTCTTGGCAATAAGCATACCGCTGATTTCCCCCAGTGCGGCATTAAACCCATGCTTATTGGCATCAAAGTGATGTTGCGGTTGTCGTGGAATGACCACCACACGAGTGGAGGAATCCTCCTTTAGAAACAGGACATTGTGAGGTATCTGTTGCGTGTGTAGGAAGCGAACAAAGCGCGAAACTGCTGCTTGTAATGTAGTGCATTGTCGAAAGGAAAAACAGGGAATCATCCAATCCAATAGATCCACTTGGCAGTCTTCATAGCCGCGAGTGACTGTCATTTCGATAGGCGCGTAGGCAATCGGAAAATCTTTGCGTCCGCCCATCAGCGGATCCTCTCCTCCCAGGCGAGCCTCATGGTCCAATTCACTAGGAAACAGCACATGCAGATGCAGATGGTTGACACTGGAAAAGGCTCCCAGACTGTTGAATCCAATGCAAAATTCACAGTTGCTAGCTGATACTTGCAGGACTTGGATGGCCAACGTCACTGCTTTTGGTATAAGTTGTTGTGGTAGTCCTTCGTCCCCCCATGGAATTAGCAGACCATGTCCGTACATGAGAGGAGACACATTGACCAAGATGGGATGATGAGTCGTTTCTTCTTGTTCTTGAAAATGAATCAACACCAATACTTCTTCTGGGCCAACCTTGTTGAAGTGAAACTTGTCGGCGTTAAAGGGCTCGTCCATATCATGGCTAGAGACTGTAGCAGGTCGTTTGTGTCCAAATAGACTCGGCTCGAATTCCGAAATCAATCCCAATGTCCCAGGAAGGCTCTTCCGAAGAACGTCCGAGTCCAGAGGATCATTGCGAAGGATACTGCCCGCCTGCCGACAGCGCTCAAACTGTTCCTTGAGGATGACATCCAGGGAGGGCTGTATTGGAGACGACGACGATTGTAGGAGGGAGAATATTGGAGGAGATTCCGGCATATTGAGCAAGACAGAGTTGGATGAGTTGATGGATGCTTTTGGGTGATCTGTTGGATTGTTGATGCTTGATTGATTGAAAGCCGGTGAAGCTGGTAGAAAACAATTTGGCCGTCATGACCTAAAGATTCCAGCCAAGTAATAGCCACGAGTGGTCAGCTACATGTAAAGAGAGCAATGAGTACCAGGTACAGCCTTCATACGGGATGCTTGAGACAATTTTCACAATCATAAAGGCTAAAGTAGAAGATTCTGGATATGCTGTAGCATTGTTGCTACATGAGCCAGTATTGGGTATTTTCTAACACCAAACAGAGGGACCAATTTCAAGCTTCCTCTTCAACCGCGTCCACATCCACGCAATGCCTGCCAGCAGCACAAAGATTCAACCCATTGGATAGGCACTGCTGCTTCATGTCCGAGTATAACGAACTAACTCACAATAGGCGATCGACCCCTCAACTCGCTGCCACTATAGCAGACTTGGCGGCACAGTAGATTGTCGATTGAAACGTCGTTTTGCACGTGCGAAACGGTTTGTTGGCTCCTGCCCACTTTTGGAGCGACTTTTCGTGTGCCTTTCTGGCAGCCACCATACTGGATGCTTTCTTGGTGGCTACCGACACGTCATTGTGTGGATTGGAAAGTATGACTGGCTCTCGCAGGACGCCGGGTACCAGCTCGCGTTGCATGGTGGATCGATCTATTGTTGTTGTTGTTTGTGTAGTAAAATAGGCATCCCCCAGAACATTGCTTGCCGATGGTCGCACGGTTGGATTCAGTACCAGCAGACGCTCCAGGAGTGGGAGCAAATGGGGGCTTTCTTTGGCACGAGGAAGGAGCGAGTCTAGTTTTTGTCGTTGTTTGGACGAAAAGTTGAGCTTGGCCCCACTACTACCATCATCATCATTCATAAAGTCTGGTAATTGTTGGCTTGGCTCTGCAGGAGATGACGATGATGATTCAACCGGTGTCCCCAGACATTGGAAAATGGCTTGGAGTTGTCCCAGATCCGTCGTACCTGTGGGATCGACAAACATGAAATTGTGGAGGTGAGTTTTCCCTTACATGCCTACTAGTAGATAGATGGATAGCGATATGGCACAATACGGTTTCCACCAGTAGACTTACCCCGAAACAAGGGAAATCCTGCCAACAGTTCCCCTAGCACAACCGCGGCGCTGTACACATCACTGGCCGGGGCGACTGTCTGGGAACGCAAAATGTTTTCCGGTGGCCGGTAGTACAATGTACATAACCCTTTCTTGGCGGCTTCTTCTTTTTTCTTTGGGGGTCCATTGTCGTCCTTTTCAGCATTAATTTCAAAGGGTGTCGCCAAACCAAAATCACAGAGCTGCATGTGTCCCGACGAGGTATCCACTAATAGATTGCCCGGTTTGACGTCCAAATGCAGCACACCATGAGCATGACAATGCTCCAATGCCGAAAATAAATCCCATGCAATTCCTCGAACGACGGCCCGTGGCAACAAAAAGGGCGTCTTTCGTTGTTGTCGTCTCCATTCCAAAGTGGTACCAAGATCCACACGATAGGGAAACGCCACTTCCAGTTCATTGGCGGACTGAGAAAACCACCAAAGGTCAATAATGTTGCAATGGGGATTCAAGAGACGGAGGGCACACACTTCATGAAAGGTTTCGTGCGACAGATTATTTTTGGCGTTGGTGTTACTCTGGAAAAATTTGGACGTATTCGCAGAAGAACCGTCGCTACTGATGGCTTTGATGGCGGTACATTTCCATATTGCCCCTGTTGTCCCTTGGAAGATTCCGAAACTGACGCTGCCAAAGGCTCCACGAGCTAGCACCGCATTCGGGCTGCACTTGAACACACTACTAGTCTCTTCAGTATCAGGACGAAACCATTGTTTATACGGAGCTGACATGGTCACTCGTCCACTACAGCAACCACTCGTCGATGTCACACTACTTGTGCATGGCTTTTGGCCATTTACTTGCTTGGCCTTGGCCGATCTTCGGGTATCCCACGTATCTTTTCGAATCGATTCAATTCGAATGAATCGATTCGATTCGATGATCATTCGATTTGAAAGGATGTGACGCCGTTCCATGGTGGGATTTTGGCTTCAAGCAAGCCCCCACACTCCCGCAGCCTGCCCGACACCCACCTGAGTACTAGCTATGTAGTACCGTATCTCCCGAATGAATATTGCGGGAGTGCATCTTTCTAGACGGATGGAAGTCCGTAGTAGCAAATGATCGCCGAGAAGTTGCGGGTGGCCGTTGTCTTGTGTCGGCCATGGTACATGCACGATGCACCCTGCCTATCTTCGGATACATTGGAAACATTTCCCTTTGCACAGCAGTTTTGGATTTGCCCCTTGCTGGCCGAGTGGGCCAAGGGTTGCTTTGGCATCGACGCACCTGTGGAAGATGCATCAGTGGAGGAGGAAATCTCTTCTGAACCTTCCAGAGACAATACAAAAGCCGCCCCAGTCAGCTCTGAACCCACCAATGACAGTCGCGCCCTCCCTGTACTGCTTCATCGGTGCAGTATTAGTTGGCTTTTGACTCTTCCTATTCTTGTCCTTTGGCTTTTGACTTTGGAATTGCATTATGTCTGCAGCTTAATTGGCTTACCATCAAAGAAAACAAATCTCGCTCCATCCGGTACTAGCTAGCTAGTACACTGTACAGTAAGAGCTCTAAAAGAGATCCAAAGATCCAAAACCGAAGAAACCATCCAATCCACCTCGTTAGTGTATCTCGTCATAAAGATACGTGTAACAATACCGGCACCTGTGAAAGATGTCTTCTTCTATGGATGATAATATCGGCGACAATGTGGGCAAAAACCAAATCTTCATTAGCCACGACAGTCGCGACCGTGAGCTCGTCCATGTGATTGCCGAAACTTTGAAGCGGGTGTCGCAAGAAAGTGTTCGCGTGTGGTTCAGCTCTGATGAGTCAACCCCCACCGGTGGCATGTCGCCTGGATCCATCTGGTTGGATGAGATTCGGCTCCAAATATTAAAGTCTAAATTGATGATTGTCGTACTGACGCCGCTGAGTCTGGACCGACCGTGGCTATCCTTTGAGACGGGATATGCTTCGGCCACTGAAGGTTGCAATGTGGTTCCGGTTTGCGTGGGAATTGACAAGAAGGATATTTCATTTCCGCTTGCCATGTATCAGTGCTATCAGTTAGTGGACTATGAATCCCTGAAACGATTTGTTGCCCTGATATTGGCGCAGTATGATATACCTTTTGACGAAGAAGTTGTGAAACCGATTTTACGTGAGGCTATTCCGAAGTTGATCCAGGCAATGGCTCCACCCTATGGCATGGAGACGGACCAAGAGGAACCCACAGAGCTTGCTCAAGTCAAAGAGCATATCGATCTCCAATTTGCGGATCTAAAAGGAAGGATTTCTGCCTTGAATAAGAAAAGTGATAGCGGGGAATTGATGATTCCGCTCAACTCTTTTTCTTATTCGGTCGAGTTCCAAATCGATTTCCCCTTGCTGAAGCGCACCGTTTACTTGGAAATGGACCCTGACACTACAGTCCAAACTGTGCTCGACAATGCCTACGGCATGCTAGCCAACCATCTTAAACCATGGACATATCTTACATGCTGGATCATTCAAAGTCGGACTTCTGGCAGAAACTTGGTCATTCGAGAGATTGCAGACATGGTACCGGCGCAGGTGGTGTTCACAGATGGGTCCAAATGGAAGATTATGCCCCTAAAACGTCCATGGAATGGTGCAGATGCCAGGTCGTCATTGTTTTATGGGGTGGAGTGATAGTTCGTCGCACAACACGACAGTCTGGGGACGCCAGTTAGCTTGGAATCAATGCTTGGGGCCGTAGCGCTACTATGGAAAAACTCAACTTTGAGGCCCAACGAGAACTCACGTTGGCTCGGGTCCGTGAAGTGTACTACGTTTTAAGAAGGTTGTGCACAGGGCGGGCAGTACGAAAGGGCAGCAACCCACGGTCCCATGGTTCGTCGAAAGCTATCAATTCTTTTAAACAAAACAACAAAACAGATTCCCAGCAGACCCTGCACCGAGTCCGCAATTGCCGAGAGTGGACTTGGGTCGATCCAGATTTCCTGCTGCCAAATCTCTACTCCTGCTACTGCCTTGTAATCTACCCGCATGTTGCCCACACAGACGGAACCTCCCGCAATAACCCATACTGAACACGATGCTTTACCCTGGCATTCAAACTGGTAACCTCCAGGAGCTGAACCAGTGACTTTTTGCTGAAGCCGGGTTGCCGCACCAACTGCCGGCCACACTTGTTGAGTTTCAGGAAATACATAATGCGTTGTATGATGGGTCTGGTATACCCGTTCTTCCCTGGTAGATACAAGATATCCGTCAATGTAGTGTTGCCCACCCTGACAACTTCCAGAAGAGCCTTCAGCTTTTCGACAGTATCAAAGATGTCGTCTACGTAGGGTTTGAAGACGTCCGGAGATTGGCGCAGAACGACAAACTTTTTGAGGGTACCGTTGGAGCAAAGTGCCTCGCAGATTGGTGTTGCATCCACCAAGGCATTACAGACAGCAAAATCCTCCAATGGGCAATGACGCATCGCCTGAACAATGGCATTTGTAAAGTCGGGTAGGTTTGCTGTGTTAAACGACCACAGTTTGAAGGAGATTTTCAATTCTCTGAGCGACGAGAACAATGGAAGCAAGCCCACCAAAGTATCGCCGCATGTTATTGTTGGCTCTATGCAGTCCTTTAGAACCAGTTTACGCAGCGCGCTGCGTTTGATTGTTGAAGAGGTTTCTTCTTTCTCGAGACTTGGCTGAATCACGGTGTTGGCGTCAGGAGCAGGGAGGCGGAAGGAATCCAGCTTCAGTTCTTGCAGTGCCTGATTGCATTTCAGGCTGCTCAAGAGGCGAGGCAAAACTTTTTCGTTACCGGCCTCAGGATTTCGAGTGTATTGCAAACAAGTCATGCTTGCAGAGCGCAGAGCCGTATTCTTTTGGAATATTTGCTCCAATTTCGGGACAACCTCTGGATCCGTCGCGAGAAAATCTCTGTGTAACAAGAGCGCCGAAAGTTGATGGATGGACTCATTTTCTGCCATGGCCCCCAGAAATTTTCGAAGAGACTCGGAAGAAGTGAATGATGGTTGTCCCGGTGAAAATGATAAATGCCCGAGCTTCCCCAACACGCGGCATAACACGTTATCGGCAGCTGATGGAGTCAAAATACCTGGTATCAGAAAGTTGCGCTTTTTATTGGTGCAATTATCATTGTACCGAGAAGAGATCAACTCGAGAGCCTCTGGAGAAATGTCCGTGATACTGAAGGCCACTTGGAGAAGATCTAGACCATTTCGATTCTCTTGCATGACAGCATCAGGGCATATCCCCAAGAGCCGCGATAACGAGGATAACTTTCGTGTATTGTTGAGGGCACTTTCCCGCTTTCTTGGCAACATGTATTCTAATGGGAGCTTTCCTTTACCATCCACAGCGAGCAGTGCAGGTGGATGCTTTCGGTAAATTGATTCCACGATAATGGGAATGGACGCGCCGTCGCAAGCGCGGTGCAAGCTTGTAGTCATGCGTCGTCCTGTTCCACAAGGCTCTGTCGCCGCCGTTGGATCCATGGAGCACACTGCCTCCACCATTGGCACGGCCGACACATGGGGATTCTTCAGAAGATAAAACAGGGGAGGAGCGTCATGATAAGACCCTTCCTTCCACTTGAGTTGGAACCTGTATTTTGCCAGAAGAGGGAATCTTTGGAGAATGGCAAACACGTCGTCAAAATCATCGCAAGCATCTCTAGACAATCTTTCAGCAAGCTCTCTGTATGGGTCGCGTGGGTCACTGAAGGGGTTGTTGCTGTTGTTGTCATCTGTGCCTTCCATGATACCTTTGGTCGGTTGTCTGTCGCAGAAGCTTCAGTGGGATGATGAGAGCACCAGCCTTTGGGTGTTTGCAGCGAGAGGGCAACAGTGCGCACTGTCACAGCAACACCTCGCCACTCATTTATGTCTCGTTTCTTGAGCCGTGCTTTTAGACCTTAACCCTAAGCTCGTTTTGAACACTTCGCATTTGTCAGAAAGGTATTTTCGTATGACGGACAGACGACTCGGGATCCACAATCACGGTTCGTGATTGGGGATGTGTGACTCAAATCAGATGGTTATCCGATCATCATCAGATGGCCAGGTGTACGAGGAACGAGGACAATGGTCGTCTAGCTAGATGATGCAACTACAAAGGTTAGGAAGTTAGGTCGAAGAGATGAATGCAAGGAGCGACGGGATGGAGCAAATGAATGGACGGATGAAGGTCCATAGGTTTAGTAAAGTGGGAAAGCCCTCCAGGGCCAACCATGCACTTCAGGAAGATAGATCGACGAGATCTATCTATAGATGAAACTGCGAGAAGCGGAGGATCGAAAGATCCTGGTATATGTATGCATATCGGAGCTCAGTTGTAGAGCTCACAATCTGAACGAGAGAGAAAGGAAAACGAACAAATAGCCAGCTACTAGACAGTAGAGCTGAAGGATATTGATTAAATTAAGAGAAATTGTGCGTTCAAGTTCACACCTTTTCAACACGTTTTAAAACGATACTATCAGGAAAGAGTGAGCTTGGATCCAGGTTGTCAAACAGAAAGGAGAAGAATTGAGAAGTAAGTAAAGATGTCTACGAAGGTAGAGGTATCATGTCGAGCAAGTATCCATTTCGATGGGAAAGATGAGAAGTTCAGGTTCTACAAGGTCAAGATGATGGCCCATTTATCGAAGTATGGGTACGTAGAACTGATGAAAGACTCTACGGAGATCAAACCGGACAACTGGGAAAACCCTACAGGTACGGGCAAGTTGTCGGACGACGAAGTAGAAAAGATCGAAAGTCTGCAGAAGAAGAACAGCAAGCTGCTGGAATACTGCTGGATTCGATCAATGTGGAGACCATCGAAGGGCAAGTCGCCTTCGACCTCTGGCCTCACACCAAACGCTGACCATGCTGCTGGGATTTTCAAGGGCATGTGGGAGTCCATGCTGGACCTCTACGATGCTGAAGACAGTGGGTGAGGTAGCAGCTGACGAACGGAATACATACGCGATAAAGATGGACATCAAGGAAAACCAAAGAAGTTCGAGATTGGACTCGCGTGAAACGCAAGAAGCTAGCGAAGGATGGGTTCAAGATATCGGACGAAGAGTAAATCAAGGACCTTCTCGAGAAGATGCCGAAGAAGGAAGGAGAACTCGGAGTGTACCATGAAGTGAAGAAGAAGTTCTGCGAAGGATCAAGAACAACAGGACATGGAATAACGGTAAAGAGTGTGGTAGATGACTTATGCGAAATCTACGATGAGATTAAAGGACGGAACAAGTCGACAGACACAATGGCAAACAGCTTTCATGATTGGAGGAAAACAATTCAAGGCAGAGATCGAGAACTGGAAAGCATGGCACAACTGTGAAACAAGATCTGCAGAAAGAACAGCCGAAGGAAAAGCTAACAAGATGAGACGCACAAGAGAAGTCAGTACTGACGAATCGGGACGGAAAGATAAGGAACAAAGGAGAGTAGACAGAGGGTAGAGTGAGGAGAAGGGTAGCGGAAAGTGCTTCAACGGTGGAAAGATTGGACACAGGAAATCGGATTGCCTAAACTCAAAGCGGAACAACGAAATGAGAAGGAGCAAACACAGCACAAGAAACAACAGGAAGAGATGGCATTCATGAATGATGAGCGAGAAATATGCATGCCATGCCGAGGAGTAGATTTGTCAGACGATGAAACAGGGGAGGGTAGAAGAAGCATCGGAATATGAAAGCAAAGAATGGGATGCGTTCTGGACGATTTTGAAAGCGGAGATGACGTGGATAAAGATGGAGAAAGCTTGGAGCAATTAACATTATGAGGCGATGGACGCCCTTAAATCTCTCAAGAATGAACAACAACGACTGACATAAGAAGAATCAGTCACATAAACGAGAACCCAGACGTTACCTATCTGTCTGCGAAACAGAGAGCAGGCCAGATTCCGACAGCGAAACACTCCTACGATTTTGAAGCAAACGGCTACAACGAAGAAGTTCTGAGAAGGAGGAGAAACAACGAACGACAAATTCGCTCACAATCTACGAAGACGACAACTACTATAGCTGTTTGAGCGAAGCGACGAAGAAGAAAAG